TTTCCTTTCCTTCCTTTCCTTTCTTTCCTTTCCTTTCCTTTCTTTTCCTTTCCTTTCTTTTCTTTTCTTTTCTTTTCTTTTCCTTTCTTTTCCTTTCCTTTCCTTTCCTTTCCTTTCTTTTCTTTTCTTTTCTTTTCTTTTCCTTTCCTTTCTTTCCATTCCTTTTCTTTTTTTTCTTTTCCTTTCCTTTCCTTTCCTTTCTTTTCCTTTTCTTTCTTTTCTTTTCTTTTCTTTTCTTTTATTTTCTTTTCCTTTCCTTCCTTTCCTTTCCTTTCCTTTCCTTTCCTTTCCTTTCCTTTCCTTTCTTTCCTTTCCTTTCCTTCCTTTCTTTCCTTTCTTTTCTTTTCTTTTCTTTCCTTTCTTTCCTTTCCTTTCCTTTCCTTTCCTTTCCTTTCTTTCCTTTCTTTTCTTTTCCTTTCTTTCCTTTCCTTTCCTTTCCTTTCCTTTCCTTTCTTTTCTTTTCTTTTTCTTTCTTTCCTTTCCTTCCCTTTCTTTTCTTTTCTTTTCTTTTCTTCCAAAGAGAGTCTGCTCTTTATTATTGCCCTGCAAACCACAGGGCTGAAGTCACTAAAATTAACTTTTGAAAGCATCCTTACTTTTGAAAACACAAACTTTGTAAAATTGCTCTTTTAACACCTTGAATAAATTGGTGGGTTATTATTTCTCCACCTCCCCAACCTGGATGACTTTAAGAAATGTGATTTCATCCTGTATGAGGAATTCTGGGAGTTGAAGTTATAGGTTGAGAAATGCTGGTTTAAACCATCTCATCTTCACCTGATATAAACTACCTGAAATAGGAAGTTTTGAACTTATAGACTTAAACCTAGTTCACCCATGCCTGCAGAGACAGATAATGCTTGTCTAACAACAGTTCATTTAGTGACTGTTCAAACTTACAGCGGCACTGACTTATGACCCTTGTTCACAGTTACGACCCTGTAATTTATGATAGTTTTTATATGAATGCTAATATGTCTGCCTTATGTCTTAGATAAGGTACTTTGACAATATATGCATGAATATCAATAAAGGAGAATAATTTGTAGCTCAGGGTTGAAATGAGGGGAGTCCGTGGTGCTCTCTTAGCTTGGTGGTTTTCTTGTAGACGTTTCATGACCCAACTAGGTAACATCGTCAGTGCTAGAAGGGAGGAGGAGGAGGAGGAGGAGGAGAGGAGGAGAAGGAAGAAGGAAGAAGGAAGAAGGAAGAAGGAAGAAGGAAGAAG